GTATCTCTGTGTGTGTGTACCTTTGGGCTGTGTGTGTGTATCTGTGGGGTGTGTGTATTATATGTGTGTGTATCTCTCTCTCTCTCTCTCTCTCTCGTGTGTGTGTCTGTGTGTGTATCTCTGTGTGTGTGTACCTTTGGGCTGTGTGTGTGTATCTGTGGGGTGTGTGTATTATATGTGTGTATCTCTCTCTCTCTCTCATGTGTGTGTGTCTGTGTGTGTATCTCTCTGTGTGTGTACCTTTGGGCTGTGTGTGTGTATCTTTGGGGTGTGTGTATTATATGTGTGTGCGTCTCTGTGGGGTATGTGCACATATATGTATGTATATATGTTTGTAGATATCTGTGGGGTACATGTATGCATTTGCACGAGTGTCTGTTGTGGGTTCTTCCTCAATTGCTTTCTAGTTTATGAGGCAGAGTTTCTTGCTGAACTGGAAGCTTCCTTTTGGGCTAGTCTAGCTAGCCGTCTTGTTCCCAGATGCCCTGTCTGGCTTCTGAGTGCTGAAATTTCGGGAGGGCCGTTATACCCACCTGGCATTTGACCTTTCTCTCGCAGCTGAGGGTGAGTGCGGAAGGTGCGGACTCCAGTGTCCTTGCCTGCACAGCAGGTGCGGTACCCCGAGTTCCCCCTCGAGCCCCCAGTTTCTGGGGCCTTAACCAAGCCTTCAGGGTACAGCGGCAGCATCTGTCTGGAGGCGGTAGCAAGCTTTGTCTGCAGATGTCGGGAAGTGAACCTATCTCAGCACGAGCTACTCCGTCTGTCCGTAGGCTGGGCCTCGTCAGCGTCTCTCGCGGTGGTGGTCTCATGAATTTGTTTGTCCTCCTCCAGGTTGGGAAAGAGGTTAAAGAAGACCCGCAAGTATGACATCATCACCACCCCTGCTGAGCGTGTGGAGATGGCCCCACTGAATGAGGAGGACGATGAGGACGAGGACGCCACAGTATTCGACATCAAGTATAGGTGCGGGCAGGGGACAGAGGCTTCTCCCCGGGCTGTGTCCGGTAGGGTGGCTCAGCCGCAGTGTTCTTGTGCTCTTGTTAAGTGTTAGTCTCTGAGATGTTCTTATTGTGGTGGGACCTGTTTCTATCACTGCCTTGGTAACAGTTCCTAGGAATCCAGACGAGTACAGGGCTGGTGGGTAAATGCTTATCCTGAAAAAGAAAAACAAGTATTGTCATGGTTGCTTTCTGGAACACTGGCTTTAGAAACAGAGTTTGTTAATGAATCACATTTGAATTTTATTAACTTTTTTTTTGTGTGTGTGTGTGAGAGAGAGAGAGAGAGAGAAAGAGAGAGAGAGAGAGAGAGAGAGAGAGAGAGAGAGAGAGAGAAAGAGAGAGGGAGGGGAATATTTCTCTGTGTAGACCTGACTGTTCTTGAACTTGATTTGTAGACCAGGTTGGCCTCGAACTCAGAGATCCTCCTGCCTCTACCTCCCGAGTGCTGGGACTACAGGTGTGTGACACCACACCTGGTTCACTTAAATTTTATGAAGAACAACCACACTTTGAAACATGCTGGTTCTAGATACCAGAGTCGGAAGAAACCCATGACTTGTGTTTTGTCAGGGGAAGAGTGAGGTCAACAGTAATACTCAGTTATGCTACAAAATATTACATACATAGCGTTATTAATGATCGCATTGGGTTTATTGCTAACCCTTCTGCCTATTTCACAGTCAGTACATAGAAACAAAGAAGAAAATTATGGCTGGGCGGTGGTGGCGCACATGCCTTTAATCCCAGCACTTGGGAGGCAGAGGCAGACGGATCTCTGTGAGTTCAAAGTCAGCCTGGTCTACAGGAGCTAGTTCCAGGACAGACTCCAAAGTTACAGAGAAGCCCTCTCGAAAAACCAAAAAAGAAAAAAAAAATTAATGTCATTTAAAAGGTATTCCCACTTATACTTCAAAAGTATATGGTGTGTATGGTGTGTGTGTGTATGCATGCATACACGTGTTACAGTACATGTGTGTGGAGGTCATAGGGCAACTTTGTAAAGTTTGTTCTCTCCTTAATACCTTATATGAGTTTTATGGGTCAAACTCAGGTCATCGGGCTTGCATAGCAAGCTCCTCTACTTCTGCCAGCTCATCTTGCTAAACCTAACTTTTGTTTTTTATTTTTATTTCTTGTTTGAGGCAGGGTTGCATAACCTGGGCTGGCCTGGAACCTGCTGTGCCGAACTCATGGCAATTCTCTTGCCTCAGTCTCCCGCGTGTTGGAATCACAGTGGTGCATCGCCATCCTGTGCTTCCAGGCTTTCATTATTATAGCAATAAAAAGGGTCGGAGTCCTCCGCAGTACGGAACCTTAAGGAAGTGAATCAGTTGTACTACATATATATATGTGTGTGTGTGTGTTTGTGTGTGTGTGTGTATGTATATATGTATGTATATGTGTGTAGTATATATATGTGTATATATATATGCACGCATATAAACATGCATGTATATATGTGTGCCTGCACACAGGCATACATGTCACTGAGTATATTTGGAGGCAGAGAACGACTTTTTTGGAGTTGATTCCCTCTTTCCATTATGTGGATACTGGGAATCAAACGCAATTTGTCCAGCATAGCAGCAAGTGCCTGTACCTGTTTTTTTGGTTTTTGTTTTTTGTTTTTTCAGAGCCACTCCTAAAATCTTGTTCCTATTAGGTGTGGCTGTTAATACTGACTGAACTTGACAGGCTCCAGAATCACCCTGGAGACAAATCTCTTGCCGAGCTTGTGAGGGAGTTTCTAGTCTGAGCTAATCAAGAGACAACCTACCTTAAATGTGGTCAGCACTATCCCATGGTTGGGGGTCCTGGGCTGGATGAAAAGGAGGAGCCATGCTGAGCACCCGCATTCACCTGTCCGCTTCCTGACTGAATGCACATGACTGCTGCCTCGTGCTCCTGCTGCCTTGCTGTCTCCGCTGTGATCGACTGTACCCTCAAACTGTGAATCAAGCAGCTCTTCTTTCCTTAAGTTGCTGTCTTAGTTAGGGTCTCTCTTGCTGTGATAAAACAACCTGGGAGGCCAGGCGGTGGTAGCACAGGCCTTTAATCCCAGCACTTGGGAGACAGAGGCAAGAGGATCTCTGTGAGTTCAAGGCCAGCCTGGTCTACAGAGCTAGTTCCAGGACAGACGCCAAAGCTACAGAGAAACCTTGTCTCAAAACAAAACAAAACAAAACAAAACAAAACAAAACAAACCCCCCAAAACCCAACAATAGCAACAACCATAAAGAGAAAAAGCAACAACCCTTTTTTGAGGCTTTCTGCAAAGTGACAACAGAGAGAACCGTACTGCCCAGGAGCAGACACTGAGCATGGAGCCCGAGTCCATGGAATTAGGGTTCACAATGGCCAACAGCTTAGAGTTCAGGATTAATACAATGGATTTGTTGGGTCCTGAGTTTTCACCTAGAATAGAAGAAATGTGGGACACCAAGGGATTGGGGAGAGCAAACCCAAGTCCTGTTTCAGACATCACCAGGAGCCAAGACGGGAGTATCTGTGAAATGCTAGGCATTTATAGTTCATTACCCAGGAATGTCAGGGCAGGAACTAAAGCAGAAGCCAAGGGTGGTTGCTGCTTACTGGATTGCTCCTCATGGCTTGCTTAGCCTGCTTTATTAGAGTACCAAGGCCCACCAGTCCAGGGGTAGCTCCACCCACAGTGAGCTGGGCCCTCCCATGTCAATCACCAATGACCATTTGAGAGGATGTACCACAGGCTTGCCCAGAGGCTGGTTTGGTGTGGGCGTTTCCTCAGTTGAGATCCTTCTTCGTAGATGGCTCTAGCTGGTGTTAAGGTGATGGAAAACTGGCCAGCGCAGTTGCTTTCGGTAAGTATTTTCTCCTTACCACAACAAAGAGAGAAGCAACTAATCCACTGGGTGACTGAACTGGCTCTGTGGAAATCATGACAGAATGGGCTGGTTTTGTTCTCTTTTCACATGCCGCTAAGTAAGAGAAGTCCCTAGTCTGGATGTGCAGGCCTCTGGCAGTAGTTCCAACACACAGGAGGCTGAAGCAGGAGGTTTTGAGTTCAAGGTTGGCCTGAGATACGTAATGAGAACCTGTTTCAAATAACTGATGGGGAAGGGGGAGAGACTTAAACAAGGTACTATAATATCTGTTTAGAAATTCTGTCTAGAACATGAGATGCGAAACGGATCTATTCTTTGCCTGCCTGGATGCCAGCGCTGCTATAGCCTGAAATACATCCACACTCGTCTCAGTTCTTCTAATTAGACCAAGTTCCCTTTTTTGGGCTGATTGTCAGTCCTGGATTGGTGTTGCTGGAAGCTCTGAAACTCATCAAAAAGCAACTGACAAAACTTGGTAGGTATTCGAGCACTAGGAATACTTTTGCTTTCTGAAAGACTGACTTCTTCCCCTGGCCTAATGCAAGGGTGAGAATCAAGGATGATGAGAAACTGTGTACCCATATACTGGCATTTCAGACACTCCCCTCTTGGCACCTGGTGATGTCTGATACAAGTTTTGGGTTTGCTTCTGCAATCCCTTGGTGTCCCTTATTTCTTCTAGGCAGAAACTCAGGACCCAGCAAATCCATTGTATTGATCCTGAACTCTAAGCAATGGCCATTGTGAACCCTAGTCCTGTGTACTCGGGCTCTGTGCTCAGTGTCTGCTCCTGGACAGTCTGGCTCTCTCTGACGTCACTTTAGGGACAGTCTCAAAAACAGGTTCCTGTATAAAATGTGGTCACTACATTTGTGACCTTATCTCCGGTACCCTTATTTTATTTATTTAAAAGTTATTCGTGCCTATGTATGTACATGCCTGTGTGTACATGAACATGTGTGCACACGTGCTGTAGGTGGCATGACAGTTCACAGGAGCCAGTTCTCGAATTCTGTGGTGTGGATCTGTCTGTTTGGTCTGAATGAGAATGGCCTTCATAGACTTGTGCATGAATTCCTCAGTTGGTGGAACTGTTTGGGAAGGATTAGAAGTGTTGTCTTGTTGGAGGAGGTGTGTGATGGGGGTGGGCTTTGGGGTTTCAAAAGTCCATACCAGGCACAGTCAGCTCTCTTTCTCTCTCTCTGCCTGTGCTGTGGATCAGAAGCGATGGTAGCAGCCTCGCTGTCTTACTCCTGGCCTTAAAGGGTATGCATTCAATATTTGACCACTGAGTGAGGTTTGCTGTTGGTTTGCTACATGGGATTTTCTTCTCTGTGTGTTACCTTTGAATTGTATTCCTTTCTCTAGCTCTGCTGAGTGTTTCCTTTAACCCATTATGGTGGTGAATCTATCTATACTCATTAGATTTCTACTCTCCAGTCAATTCAGGATTCTGGAGTTAAGAGCTTGGTCATGCGTTACTTTCTATGTGCATTGCATTGTTTAAGGCTTCCTTTCTCCCTAGGGAATGGTGACTGGCCTGTTTCTTTTCTGTTTTGTTATTAGTCTGTTAGTCTGGCTCTGGTGCAAGTTAATGCTGGCCTTATGAAACGAGTTGGGTGTGTTTCCTTATTTTCCTTTTGTAGACAAGTTTAAATCAGATTGGAACCGTTTGTTTCCTAAGTGTTTAGTAGAGCATGCCCCAAACCGGCTGCACCCGAGACAACCCGTGTGCTGTATTTAGGGTGGTGGCATGCGTCAGTTCCTTGAATAGTTCCGAGAATATTCGGTCTTTATTTCTTCTTGGGTCAGTTTTGATCAGAAGTAGTTTTGGGGGCATTTTGCCCATGTCTGTTAAAGTTTACAGATCTGTTTTTGTATAGTTGTTCCCAGCATTCTTCTTTAATCCTGTAAATGTTTGTATTATGAGTAGCTATGGTCTCTTTTTTTTTTCTTTTTTGAATGACAGGATCTTTGTGTAGCCCTGGCTGGCCTGGAACTTGCTATATAGACCAGGCTGTGTAGACAGTGTAAATCTTGAACTTACAGAGATCTGCCTGCTTTTGCCTCCTGACTTCTGGGATGAAATGTGTGTGCCACTATGCCTGGCTCATTTGCATTATTATTTAATATTTAATATTGCTTTTTCATTTCCCACCTTTCTCAGTCTTGTAGGAAGTTTCATTTTATCTCTCCGCATGTAGAGTCATCCTGGGGCTTCTTTGATGCCCTCTGTGATGATCAGTTTTCAGTTGGTGTCTGCCTCCCATCTTAACTTGGATCTCTGTTGCTGCGACAAACCACCATGACCTAAAGCAAGCTGTGGAGGAAAGGGTTTATTTGGCTAACACTTCCCAATTGCTGTTTACCACTGAAGGAAGTAAGTACAGGAACTCAAACAGGGCAGGATTCTTGAGGCAGGAGCTGATGCAGAGACCATGAAGGGATGCTGCTTACTGACTTGCTTCCCCTGGCTTGCTCAGCCTGCTTTCTTATAAAACCCAGGACCACCAGCCCAGAGACGGCACCACCTACCATGGGCTGGGCCCTTTCCCATTGTTCACTAAGTGAGAAAATGCCTTACAGTGGATCTCATGGAGGCATTTCCTTCACTGAGGCTCCATCTCTGAGGACTCAAGCTTGTGTCAAGTTGACACACAAAACCAGCCAGTACACCAATCCTCAGTTTTCTTGGAGCGAATTCTATTCTGCTGCTGCTTCCACGGAGTACGTAGCCCATTCAGTCATTGTCAGACTTCCCCGCTGGAATTGGCGTTTTTTTTCCTGTGGCAGCCTGTGGCAGAGCCTCCCATAGACAACCAGGACTGGTGCCAGGCCCTGCCCTGCCTCCTCTTGTGTCCTGAAGAACTGACCTTCAAGGGAGCTCCCCCATGGACGTGCCTGCTGTTTGTGGTTGAAGTGAAATGACGTTGTGGGTGAACTTGGAGGTGAATCAGTCAGACACAAGGCCGCACCAGGCCGGAGAAGACTGACTGCTGGTGGTGGGGGGGCTAAGTGGCTTTCCCTCATGTACAGGTTTAGGGGAACTACAGCTGAGAAGTGGGGGAAATGGATTCGCTGTCATCTCACTACTTAGCGGTAGAGTGTGTGTAAGTACGTGTCTGTGGGGTTTTCTTTTTCTTTTGAAATAGGCCCATGTTACAAAGGCTGACGTGGGGCCCTTTCCCCGCTGAGTAGCCTATTGTGAACAGCTTTTCACGTCAGTAAGTATGAGAGAATGAAGGTCCTTAAGGTCACCTTTCTGCTTCGTGCAGCGTTTTGAGGACTTGTCGGCACACTGCTGACCTATTCATAGGGACTTGTTTTTCCTGTCCACCAAATGTTTCTGCTTCTCTCCAGGAAGCACACACATTGAAATCAGATGTGAATGAGCCATGGCTTTGGGTTGTTTTATGATGGAGTGGAGAGGAGAGCATCATGTGCTTGGCATCAGGGCAGTGAGGTGGGTTGGATGTGTCTTACTGTATATGCAACTTTCTGATCGTATCTCGTGACTTGGAGCCTGAGTGGATCAGCCAGGCTTGTTTCCCCCAAGTTTCCAGTCATGGGGAGAAGAGGTCAGAGGCCAGGGAGGTGTCTGTGGACAGTACCCCCAGCCCCAGTCCTGGGTATCAATTCTAGGGTCTCATGCATGCCAGCTCTACCCCTTCTTTGTTTGTTTCATACTGCTGGGATGCTTTGATTTGGGAAAAATACCGTGTGGAGGACAGCGCCCTGGAGTTTTGGAATGGTTCCATACTTCAGGAGGCATTTGGATTTCCTTGTGTTTGTGCTTGGTTGGCCTGGTGCACTGTTGTACTGTTTTGGGTCTTTGCAAATCCCTAGTTTATTATGGAAGACTTTTGTTACACCGCCTAGGCATCCCCGGAGGACAGGCACACATGAGCACTACTGGTTGTGTGCCAGGGAGCCTGGCAGCTGGGTTGAGTACAGCTCAAGGTACCTAGCTGCTGGGTAAAACCCACCCAAGGTACCAGACTGCTGCTGTTCCTGCCAACCCTGCTTCCTGCTGAGATGGGCTTTCTGTGTGTGGAAACAGTGCGGCTCCTCCAGGGTATGGACCAGCATTCTAAGCAGGCTTGCTTGCCCTGCTTTTGTGGCTAGAGCTTTCTGTAGTAATATTAGCTACCAGTGACATGACCATGGCATAGGAGACTGTGCCTACTCTATCCTCCAGAGGGCGAGTAAGTCTGACCGCCCCGGCTCCACCCCCCATCCCAGGCTGAGGTCTAGACTAAGTACTTTTTACATGAAGATATTAATACCTTTCCCATGGCAACGGCTACTGGCTGCTTTTTCTTCCTAAGGAGCTTGGGAATGGGTAGGGTCTGGAGGCTCCTCTGCTCGCCTCGTGTCCCAAGGTTTTAGTTCTGCTGCGAGAGGAGCTGATGGTGAGGAGACTGTCGTGAAAGCTGGGGTTCCCCTTTGCCCTGCAGCTCTCCCGTGTCTACATGTGGCTGATGGTTGTTCAAGGTATGGGGGTTGGCTGGGAGCCACTCTTGGGAGGAAGGCACAGGGCCTGCCAGAGCTTCCATGCAGGTGCTTCTGGGACCCTCGTGAGGTGAGCGCCCAGGCAGGCGGCAGTGCCACATGTTGCTCAGTGAACCCATGTGCTGTGCTGTTCCTGTCCCCCAGCTCTTGCTGCCATTGGCTGTCATTTGTGGGCATTTGTTTTGATGTAGCTGTGGAGAGTACTCTGTGCTCTGGCCTGATTCTTAGTTTGAAGGTCTCGGAAACCAACACCAGTCCTTAAATTCTATTCCGCTTTTGCTTTTCGTGGATGATTACGCAAGGTCCATAATCCGATACCGATGGAGGAGTCGGTTTTAATGGGTCTGCTTTCCCGTCCTAAGGTCCTGTGGTGCAGCTTGTGAGCTTTCCCTCGTGGCAAAAGCACTGCTTGTCCCCCTGCTGTGGTCTGCACTGTGTTAGAGCTGGAGCCGGAAGATGAGCAGGCTCACACAGGGCTCCACTCACCCAGTCTGAGCAGGCGCCAGATGCTCATACGCTTATATAGGCCCAGCTCATCAAACGACGGCCCGTGCGCCAAATGCCTTTTGCATTCACTGGGTCTCAGTTACTGTGACAGAATGCCCGAGACATCCACCTGAAGGCTTATTTTGGCTCCCAGAGCTGGAGGTTTCAGTCCACGGCTGGTTGGTTTGCCCCATGGTGAGGCAGCACATCTGGGTGGGTGTGGGAGAACAAAGCTTCTCACCACATCATGAGCCAGGGAACGAAAGGGAGAGATTGGAATCCCGGAAATCCTGCCCATGTCCCTAGTGACCTGGAGGCCTCCCATTGGGCCTCAGCTCTGAAAGGTTCTGCTGCCTTTCAGCAGTGCCAGTCCTTCTAACTCAGTGGGCTAAGGGGAGGCATCATGGAGCCCAGACTCTCGCAAGAGCTTCCCAGCCAAGCATGAGTTCTACTTTCTGTCCTACGTGGACCCAGGTCTCACTGGGAAGCTCAGGGTTTTCCTCAAATGCACATCTCCCCCCCCCACCGCCTCCCAACTGCTAGGATTGCAGTTCTGTGCCAACGTGCCCAGCTCTGATTTTTACGTTTCCGTGTTTGAAAAGGAATCAAGAGGAGAATAATATTTCAGGATACATCAAAGTTGAGTGTAATTCAGATTTCATTGCCCATAAATAAAGTTTATCGGAACACAGCCATCACCAGACATTCTGTACCGTCTCTGGCTGCCTTTCTGTCATGACAGCAGGATTCATAGTTGACACAGAAACTGCAGGATATGCAAGCTTTAAGGTAGTTACTCTTGGGTAAATTTTAAAGAAACGCTCTTTTGACACTTGGCCTGAACACCTGTGGGAGGGCGAGAAAGAGGATTTAAGGAAAAAGCAGCTTGTGTTCTAAGGGGTGTGTGTTAAAGGAGCGGTGGGCTGTTTCCTGCCACCTGACTAGCTTTATCCGAAATAATTACACGGAAACTGTATTCTTTTATCTTTTAAACACTGCCTGGTCCATTATATCTAGCCTCTTTTTGGCTAACTCTCACATCTTGCCTTAACCCATATCTAGTAATCTGTGTATCCCCATGGGGTGTGGCTTACCGGGACGATTCTAACCTACGTCCATCTTGGACCGGAGCTTCATGGCGTCTGCCTGACTCTGCTTCTTTCTCCCAGCATTCTGTTCTGTCTACTCTGCCTATCAACTCTGTCTAAGCTGCTGTCCTATCAAAGGCCAAGGCAGTCTCTTTATTTGACCAATGAAAGTAACACATAGACAGAAGACCCACTTACATCAGGTGTGGAGGGCCCCTGGGCGTCCTGTGTGAGAGCTGAAGGTCTGATGACCGTGCAGACGGCAGGACTAGGAAAAGGAACAGAGAGTGTGGCCCTGTGGCCCATGAGGTGGAGACCGCCAGGGAAGCATCAGGTGGCTTCAGCGCTCTGCCCAAGTAGTGAATCTTCTTCCTTTTCTTTCAGGTAAAGTTCTTCGGGCATGTTAGCATCCTGGGGGACGTTGGTCAACTGCAGCCTGGGATATCAAGGTCTGGGCACCGGCTCTCACCTGAGGTGTTGAAACCAAAACCACCATTACTTATGAAACTCTGACTCCATTCTGTGTGTCCAACATCTGCTTGGAACATCACCATCAAGCTTGTCCCCAGTCACCAGATGAGAGTCACCTTGGCCACCCTTGGATGCCCCTTTGAGATGCTCTTTGCACTGCTTCCTTGAGGGGTTTTCCACCTTCCTAAGAGGCGAAGATGGGAACATCGATTTCTAAGAATCTTTCTAGAACAACTATAGATAACAGTAAAGCTACAGTTAGGAGGATCAATAATTTTAAAAAGCCGGGAAGATAGCTTAGTTCGTAGCCTGATTACCTTAGAAACAGGGGATACAAGTTTTGTCCCCGGAGCTCACATGAAACAGAACTAGCAGCAGGGCCCTCACCTCTAATCCAGTATAGGGCAAAAAGGTGAAGCCCTGGGGTTGACGGCTCAGCCAGCCTAACCTTGTGAGTTCCGGTGATGACACCTGGTCACAGAAACGGTGGGTGACTCCAGAGGAACAATGCGCAAGATTCATTTCTGCCCCCTACACACGTTTACCAATACACAGCACACATATGCACACCCTCAAAAGGCTGAAGGGCCTTCAGGTGTACCTAGGAGAATCCTGGCATTCTGTTATTCCAGATCTTTCCATCATCATCAGGTCTGGCTTTATTTGGGGGACAGCTATGTGACCTTTCAGAGTGGACATACGAGCTCCCCACCTCACTCCACCCTGCCCCTTCCAAGAGGTTCAGCATAAATAGGAACGGCTACTACACAAATTTCAAATTTTCAGGGATCAGACCACATGAGTGTGTGTGTGTGTGTGTGTGTGTGTGTGTGTGTGTGTGTGTGTACCTGTCTCTCTCTTCACAGGGATGGAAAGTGCCAGGTAGCTTTTAGTGATTGTGTGTGTGTGTGTGTATGTGCTGTAAAAACATTTCTCTCTCCTGCCTCAGTGTTGTGTTGTTTGTCTTAGGAATATAATGCTAAGAAGAAATCACTGTGGTAATTTAAATGAATGATACTTTGGTTGGCTGAAAAAAGGGACACTGTTGGGGACTCTGTTGGCAGTCCGTCCAGGCTATGTTCCACTAGATTGGACTAGAAGCTCTCCTGGGTCCACTGCACCTAGCCTGGGAGCTGGGTACCCAGAGATGCCCTGAGGAAACAGGTCCTGGACTAACTGCTCAGGTTAACGGAGGTCTCCCACTTGGTCTTCTCCCATATTGCTGTAGCTCGGATGCTGTGCAAATCTCATAGCGGTGCCTTTGGAACCCCGGGAGTGTAGTATGTCTGGAAAGATGACTGTTGTTACTGCCTTGTTTCCTTTCTGTCTTTGTTCTAGAGTTTGTGTACTTGTCTGTTTGGTGCCCTGCTCCATTGCTTTGGGTAAAATCCCCCACCATGGCCAGCTCTGCCCCACCACCAGACTCTCCAGTCCCTGGCTGGGGCTGTGGTGGTGGCAGTAGGTAGAAAGAGCCACCTTGGCTCTGGAGCCTGGCTGGGCATGGGTGCTTTGCAATCCTAACCCATCATGGAGTGGCCTGTTCTTCTGGGCTCCCTTAATCTCTGCTTCTCAGTTGGTTTCTCTCAGCCTCCTGCCCTGCTAGTCAGAGGGGTGGGGCTTCCCTCACTGTGTAGTCACAGCACAGTGGCAATTCTAGGACATTGGCCACCTCCAAGCTGTGTGCCCTGCCCTCTCAGCCTTGGAGCTGGGACTGCCACCTCCCATTCAGGTGTCCCAGGACTACAGGTGAACCACCTAGAAAGCTGGATCCTCCTGCCTTATGTGTGAACACCATGGATCCGGCTGCCAGTCCCTCATCGCTGACTCTGGCAAGAATAGCAGGACGGTGACCTTACAAATCCTTGATGAATCTTCAACACCGCAGGCACTTAAATAAAGATCCTTAAAACAAACAAGAATCATTAAACTGAGTCATGAGTGTGTTGGGTTTGGATGTTTTTCGATGGAGCTGGTGAAACGACTCTGTGGTCAGAAATGTGAACACAGGAGGTGGGTAGGGATGAGTTGGGGTTTCTGGGGCTGTGTGTGTCCTGGTGATTTAGGAAAAGGCATATAAATGGAATGGGGCTGGAGAATCAATCTCTCTCTCTCTCTCTCTCTCTCTCTCTCTCTCTCACACACACACACACACACACACACATACACACACACACATGCATGCGCATGTACTTCATGCACTCTTGTTCAAGAAGCTGGTTCAGGTTGGGAAGTGTTGAGCCCTCGCTGGAGACTCTCGAGGTGTCCAGAGGATGGAGAGCCCACCATGTATAATCTGTGGTCCTATCCTTGCCTCATCCCTGGCTCAGCATAAGAGTTCTGTGACATCCAGGGTGTGATGGCACATGCCTGTCATCCCAGGGCTGGAGAGACCAGTCTGGGATCCAGAGCAAGACTTCGTCTCAACAAACAGAAAACCACCCCCAAATATTTATGGATGTCTGGGCTGGATTAGCCCCCTGGTGGATAAAAGCCAGAGAGGGTGGCTCACTCACTGAACATGCAGTGTCAGGTATCACCAAGAACTTCAAGGAGGGTGTGGTCTGCTTGACTCTTCCGACAGCAGAGTAGCCAAGCGTTTCCCTACAAGTCTCGTTCCTCTTGACATCCAGGGATGAGCCGGTCCAAGGAGGAAGGAGGTACCCTTAATCCAGCAGTGCCCCTTTTGGTTTGGATTGCTGCTAAGACAGTTTGTTCTTTGGTTTTACGGGTTCATTTGTGGGGGGTCTATCCAAATCCTGGCCTCTTCTGCACAAAGAAAGCCCTTCTTTCTCCACAGACCCTGTTAGAGCTGTCAGAGTCTAGTAGAGGAGATGGTCCATGACTCCCAAGTCTGTCTCCCAACTGCCTGCCTTTCCTACCATAAGTGCTGACACTTGGGAAGAGGGGTAGCTTGGGGCATTGCTCAAAATGATACTTTCTAAGGTTGTGAGACCTCCTACTGAAGTCTTAAGTCTATGATATGTACCTTGCTTGCTTTTTTTTTCCCAGCAAGATTCTGGGTCTGGGGACTTTTTGAATGACATTGGGAAGTAACCAGAAGAGAAATGTCCAGAGGCCGGTGCACAGGTACCCTATGCTTGCTGATGAGACTTTGATTATCAAAGTGATTTTGAGATTGGTCGACTCCCTGGCATTGTGAGCTCTGTGAGAGGGGGTGGGCATCAGCAAAGGGGGCTTTGGTTCAGTTGATAGGAAGACCGCAGGAAGAGTTGGAGGACTTCTCCATCTGCTCTCCAGAGGCACAGAATCTGCCCCACGAAGCCCGCAAGCTGCTCCCAGCCACACGTGGGAGCCAGTCCTTGCCTCTAGCTCTGCTGCAGTAGAATTCTTGTGACTTTTACCTGAGAATTCAGGGAGCCTTTGTGTGGACTCAGTGTGAAATACACAGCATATGATTTGTGAGATCGCTCTCTTTTCTATTCTTGGTGGGAACCAAATAACGTGAGCTTTTCAGGCCGTTGCTGTGAACCACTACCTGCGCTGTTGCCTGAGTGTTTGGTCTGCAGAGCGTCTCTCCCCTTGGTAATTGCCGCAGAATTTCTTGCTATAGTTAGGCTCAGTGGACTAGATTATCTATCAGCAAGCTTCACCTTCCTGGAGGTGGGCTGTTTTTGATGAGCCAAAATGATGTGGAGGGGCCACAAGGGGGTTTTTACCTGTATTTGTTAGCAAAGAGAGGTACCGCAGCCTCAATTTAAGTGTTTAAACCCTCCATCTGATACCAGTGCTGCGAGTAGGAAAGATCATAGAATAACTGATTGTGAAGTTTGTAAGAAGTCAGCTGGGCGGTGCCGGGTGTTGTGGGAAGAAGCAAAGAGAACGGGTGTGATTCCTGCCTTGCTTGCTCATAGTAACCGGGGGTGGGGGGGCAAGCTTCCTCCACTGGCTGTTGTGGTCATCTAGAGCTTAAGTCTAGTTTAGCATTGCTCAGTGATGGGTATCTCTTTGACGGACACCAAGCCACAGAGCTTCTGTGAAGACCTGGTAGCTTTCCTCTGAAGGTCATTTTCCGCCCCTAGAGTCAGAGCTAGTCAACTCCGGTCTCCTTCGTCAGCTTGCTTCCACCCGAAGGTCATTTTCAGCAGCTGGAGTCATCCCTAGGCTCCTCCTTTAGCTTGCAGAAGCCTCAGGCAGGGAGTGTTTATGGCTTCCACAGTCCCAGATACCTCACCAGACACAAAGTCATCACCTCGAAAAGATCAAGGCTCCACATATGGGTGATGCTGCTGCCCAAGTGCAGGGCAGCAAAGGGTCATGTTGGGGAACGGTAGAGCGAATGGGAGAGACAAGAGTACGTCACTGGGCCTGGGAGAGAGGGCCTAGAGGTGACTGGAAAGGCAAGCAGTGTGGGAGAAGGCCACAGGTCTGGACTCAGCCCAGGCAGGGACACCCCCCCCCCCCCCAAAAAAAGGTAGAATTGGAGTAAGGACTGTGTCTGGGAATTACCAGTAACTTCTGGGGTCCTTCTATGTGCCTGGAGCCTTGGCATTTCATTTCTTATTCAGTTTCTCAGATGGTCTTTTAGGAGGGTATAATCATATTTCTAGAATAGGCCCTGGGGTTCTGTGATCATTTCCACAAACCACAGACCGGGGTTGGTTTCAGTAATGGTCCTCTCCGCCAGAAAACTGACTTCCTGCTTGTCCTGTACTTTAACATCCCCTGAGTCCCAACACCACAGGATGGAGTTGGCAATTGCCTTCTCTTTGTCTGCATGGGGACTAGCTTAGGAAACTCAATTAGCACACAGGATCACAGGTTTGTAACGGGTAGATCGTGGACCATGACCTCTTACCCTCCCCAGCATGTTTACTTGGAGGCTCCAGAGAGATGGGAGACCCTAAAAACTCACATTGGGTGGCAGAGGATCTCTGAGCTCTGGGCCAATGGGAATTAAAGTTGTGTGCTCCAAGTGGCATCCAGCTTAGGTGGTAGACCCCCTTCATGGCTAAAAGAGACTGTCTGCCCAGGAGCGCTTTTCACTTTTTAAATCCTATCTGGGTACCTGGGTCCTTGGAGTCGCCAATATGGGTTCAGGGCCTATGCTAGGAACACTTACTTGCCTGTCTATGTTGTTGGGAACCGCTGTCCTCCTGAGCATAGCATGGCTGTTCCTCTGCTAATCAGAGCAGCTCTGACTACGCATACAACACCTGCATAAGGCTGGGCCTGCTGATGGTTCCTTGTCAAAGCGACCGTCACCTTCAATTCTAGTTGCTTTCCCTTGCTCCCCCCACCCCCCAGCGGTGTGCTGCTGTGTCACTTTTGTGTGGTTCTGCCCCAGCTGAACGGGCTCCAGAGTGTGTAGGAGGTAGAAAGTTAACTGAATGGTGTACTCCATCAGTGGGTGGCCTTGGGCCAGGCCTTGCACACTGCAAATATTAGGAGTAGCTGGGTGGATGACCTGACTTGGACGGTGCTCTCATCGTGGCGTTAATGACTAAGCCAGACAAGCATCTTCAGGGGCAGACTCCCAGATAATGCCTACTCAAAGCATCATTTATTTCTGAGAATGCCCCCAATCCAAAGTCTAACAGAAAGACACCCAACACTATGTATGAAAATATCCTTTTTAGGAGTTTTTGGACAAGGCTTTCTAAGAGACTCCCCAGATATTATAGGTTGTTGCTGTTGCCCTTTGTTTGTCCTCTAGAGGCAGAAGGTAAGTGTAAGGAGCCGCCAGGATGTCGCCTTGGCGAGATAGTGCCAGCGGTCCTACAGCCTGGAGGTATACAAATCCTTTGATGCTGCCGCACAGGCCAGAGTGCTTGGGGCCTTGTTTTGCATTTCAGAGCCTTGGTCCTGTGGCCTTGGGCCCTAGCAGAATGGCATTAACCAATCAGCATTCAAGCCTCTCACCCTAGAAAAGTGGCTGCCTTTGGGTTTTACACTCTCTCTCGTCATCCCTTTTCCCCATTCCCCTTTTCAATCAAGTGGCTCCAATAAATTGTGATTGAGGAGGATTCTTGATTTTGTGATCATTCCTTCTTGCTGGACAAGGAGTGCATGTCGCAGGTAAGTCCATATTTCTGAAGACACTGTTGTAATGCTGTCTCTTTAAGAGACAAGCAATGCCCACTCCCTGCAGCCTCTCTCCCTCCTCGCCATCTTGGCTCACTCTTGGTCCCCTTTCTCTTCTCTCGCTCTCTCTCTTCCCCCCTTCTCCCCCTTTTCCTTCCCCTCCATAACCCAACTAATAAATATCCAATTCTATTCTGTATGATGTGCCTCCCACCCACCGCCTGCTCACACTGCTTGCAGGGGACCAGCCACCATCATTTGGGGACCTGCCGCATGATCTCAACCCTGCAACAAGCTGCCGGGGACCCCGCGCCTATCTCTGTGTCTCCGCCGCCTATTCGTTTGGTCGCCTTCCCTGCCACATGGTCTCATGCACAGTCCCTGCCTAGGACTGCCGGGGACTTGCACCATCCCGGGACCCACTGTCTGCAGCTGCTGGGATACATAGTAAGCTGCTGGGGATCCGCAGCAGATCCATAACAACTGTTAACTTCAGACACAGAACCCAGAAAACATGGACTAGGAGATCTGACCTGAAAATACCAAGCATGCAATATTCCAATGAAGCGAAGCAGTCAGTGGTCCTACTTAGGTGTTATGCCTATAAACCGCAACGATGACCAGTATGGCATGATAACCCCTTGCACAGTGGCACACACACCTTGATGGTAACCATAAGTTCTCTTGGTGCAGGAGAATTGTCTGTATTCTGTCAATCATGTTTTAAATAAACGCTGATTGGCCAAGCAGGAGGTGTAGGTGGGGAAACCAGACAAGAAGTGGAAATGATGCAAGGAGAGCAGGAGAATTCTGGGGAGGAGGAAGTTGATTCCTTCCTCTCCTGCCCAGACCACCGAAGAAGCAGCAGGATGTG